CTCTCTCTCTCTCTCTCTTGACAGAACCATAGAGATTTACCATGGATATTGGGGTGAGCTGTTCTCCTGTCTTACCTGTTTGCCTAAATCTATCCTCTGCAACATTTGGCAGTGAGACAGCCTCTGCTTTCTGAACACTTCCATGGAGGATGTCACTGTTGCCTTTGGAGTAAGCTCAGTGCTTTGAAAAAAATTGTTCGAATACATTATTATGCATGTAATACAGAATTTAAAATATCTAGTCTTTTGTTATATGAAAAGCAAGCACTGTATCCCGTTTTCTATCCATCCAGTTCTTCTCCCAGAGGTAGCTACTCTTACCTGAGTCTAGATGCAGTCCATGTACTTAGAAGGATATGAAGGTTTTTAAAAGGAAGTATACTTTAAAATTTTAAACTATCATTAATCATTTTGAAAAAGAAAAATGTGAAAGACAATAAAGAACCAAACAGTCTCCTATAATTGTATCTTTTTGTTATTTTGGCTTTATTTTTTCAGATTCTTTTACTTAATGTGTGCACGTTTGTGCGTGTGTTTGTGTGTGTATACATGTACATAATTTACACAAATGATAGAATTGTAAATATATATTACTTTTACCTCTGTCTTAGTCTCATGATACATTTAGGTGATTATACCACATCAGCACATCTGGAGCTAATTTCTTAAACTGCTACATACATTCCATTGTACCATAGTTGTAGAGATGTCATTTTTTTGCATATGTTTAAGTATATCTGTTGGGTAATTGCTAAGGAGTAAACCTGCTGATCAAACAGTACATGCCACTTTAAATCGTGATAGTTGTTGCCAAGTGGCTTTCCTTTTGGAAGCTGAGCTAATTTACACTCCCACTGGCAATGTATGAGTGTGCTCCATTCCTTTTTAAAGTATCTTGTTATTATTAGAAAGTTCTGCTTTTTTGTAATAATTGATCTGAAACGTGCCTCGCTGAAATTTCCACCCACCTTTCCTACTTCTGCTCTCCAGGGCTCCACACTACATCTTCTTGTATTTGTTTTGACTTGCCTATGAGTTAGGAGGATGAGTAATGAACCACATTCCACGCACAAGGTAGAAAATAAGTCTGAACTTAAGTAGGCTGTGGGTACTTATGTAACCACCAAGCTTGCAGGTGGAAAGGAAGAGGCTAAATGTATGCCACAAATCCCTACTGAACTCGAGCTCCTTAAAATGAGAAAAATATTTGACTGATAATGTATCAATACATTTACCTTATAAAAATTAGATATTACAGAAAGAGTCCAAGGCCCTTTTTAGTTTTTTTTTTTTTTTTTAGACAGGGTCTCCCTGTAGCCCCAGCTGTCCTGGAGCTCACTATGTAGACCAGGCTGGCCTTGAACTCACATCTCAGGATTTCAGACTATTTTATATGAATACGTATAAAGTAGGGATAATGGGTATACTGTCTTGGAACATACAAACCCATTATCATTATGTCAGACTAAAGATGTAAAACATGAGACAATATGGACATACGTGTTGTATTAAGACTTCGGGGCCAAACTTTTTGAATTCAATTTTTGGCCTCTGCTCTTCACTAGTAAATGTATGAACTTAGGGGGAAGTAAGTCTTCTTGAGATTAGGTTACTTATTTGTCAAATGGAGATAGTACGAGTACCTATTTTATTCATCGGTTGGTTTTCCGTGACAGGGTCTCAGTAAGTACACATTGGCTTGGAGTTTCCTATGTAGCCCAGGCTGACTCATGAGTCTCCTACGTCAGCCTCCCAAGAACTGCAATTATGAGAGTGGGCTATTACACCCACCTTAAGAGTATCTAGTGTATAAAATTAGGGCAATGATTAAATGAGTTAACACATGCAAAATGTTTTTACAGAAGTGTGGCAAACAGTGAACTCTATAAATATTAGCTATTGTAGAATTAAAGTTTGGACTTCATAATTTTAAAATATGTACAGCTGGGCTAGAGAGATGGCACATCAGTTTAGAGCACTGGCTGCTCTTGCAAAGGACCCAGGTTTGATTCCCAGCACCTAACAACTGTCTGTATCTCCAGTTCCAGGGGATCTGACAGCCTCTTCTGACCTCCATGGGCATTGCATGACACAAGTGCACTTACATACATGTGGCAATACACTCATACATAAAATAAAAATAATAAATATTTTAAAAATTCAAAGTGATTGAATTTGAATATCTACTACAACTTCCAGAAGAACACTTAGATAATATATGATTATCTGATAAAAATGATTAAAAATAAGAAATACAGCATGAGTCATGACAATAGTGCAGAAGTTCCAAAGCACACAAATAACTTCTTTATGATCTGTTTCCTAGGCACGGGGGCATTTCTCCTAACCAGTTAAAGTGGTGCAGCTCAAGGAATTGTGCAAACAGAACTGCTCAGTTGCTTAGTTTGCCAGCTTTACATTTATGCAAATTTTCATTATTATTTTTTTTTATTTGCAGGGATTTACAGGGTTTCATAATCGTCACAGAAAGTGCTGTTGAATTTCCAAAATTCAGGGTTGTATCCGGTAGGACCACTTGTGCTTGTTGTAGATTTGCTTGGCCATTTTTTGTCCTCTGAGCTGTTCAGATTAGTTGTCAGTGCTGAGTAGGGTCTCTTGATCTCCTTAGGATTTTTTTTTTTGCAGTGCTGGTGATTGAACTTTGTATGTGCCAGCAAGTACACTACCAGAGCCATGACCCCATTTGGGATTTTTTTTTTTTAAACACAGGTTAAAATGTCTCAGAATTACTTGAGGCTGTATAATTTTCTTTGAGCCACATGGTGCCTGCAGTGTCTTTGTGTCTGGTACACTAGAGGCTGTGGTGACTAACACTTCACTCATGATAGAATGAGTAAAATAAAAAAAGCTGACAATAGCAAATGTTGGCAAGGATGCGGAGCCACCAGAACTCTTATATATTGTTGGAGGGAATATGAAAGGGTACAAATACTTTGGAGAACTGTTTAATTCTTCTAGAATTAAACATATGACCTGACAACTCTGCTCTCAGGAAACCACCCAAATAAAATGAAAGCATATATCCACATACAGACTCCACACAAAGTCCACATAAGTCCACATAAAGACATATATGTACATACGTGGGTAGTCTTAATCATACTACCAAAAAATGGAGTAGTAAAATGTCTTCCAATGAGAGAATAAACAATTTGTAGACTATTCATACAATGGAAAACTACTCGGCAATAAGAACGAAGGAACTATAGATTCACATGACAGCGTGATTCTAAAAACATCCATGATATTGCACAAAACCAAAACAGTTACAAAAGTAAACATGATTCCTTTTAGATGAAGTCTGAGGGGCACAAAATTTACTTAGGGGAATAGGAATTGGGGCTGTGGCTCCCTCAGGGGTGGGAGGTGAAGGGTGCTGTTTGCTGTGCAGAAGCACAAAGAACACTAAGTGAGGGTAGTCCTCTTCATTTCTCGCTATGTGGGTGAATGGGATTATTTAAACTCACCTAAAATGAACAATTTGTACATTCTCTTACATAAAATTATACTTGATTAAAACATTTAGTATATTTCTGGCTGGGCGTGGTGGCGCACCCCTTTAATCCCAGTACTCAGGAGGCAGAGGCAGGCGGATCTCTGTGAGATCAAGGGCAGCCTGGTCTACATAGGGAGTTCCAGGCCAGCTGGGGCTACAGGGAGACCCTGTCTCAGTAACACCAAAAAAAATTTTTAGTACATTTCCAAAGTCCAGTTAGATGGCATTTTTTGTTGGTTCATGTCCTAATTATTAGAATTCATCAGGGTTGTCATCTTTTGCAGTGCTGGATGACAAAGCATCTTAACTGCATGTCAGGAGCTCTTAACCTGTGGCCTGTTAATAGTTTTCAGTAGATCCATGAACTCCATAAAACTGAATGCACTTTTGCCTGCCTATGTGCATGCATTTTTCTTTTCCCTATGGAACAAGTTCATAACTGCCATTATGTGCTCAGAAGGGTCTGTGGCCTAACACATCTTCAGACTAGAATTTCCGTGTTAGAAACCTCATGCAGGCTGTGTAGGAAACTGTATCAATAGTTAAGATGAATGAACTAATAAGTGAAAACCATTTCCAGTTGACATTCAAGGGTCCAAGTGCCGAACAGTTTACAGATTTAAAGGGACAGATGTCAGTGACTCTGTGAAGCTAACAGAAATTAGAACAACCTCTGGTCTGAGAATTAGAATGACACCCTGAGAAGAATATGAAGCAGAATCAGCAGGCTATCAAAAGGGTTTTCAATCATTTCTATAGAAAACGATGTCTGTTATTGCAGAATATCTTATATACTTGGTTCATTTTAAATACTAAAATTAGATAGATGAACATAACAGAAGCAATAGTTATTTGAAAATTACTTAACACTTTTCTCTTGACAGAAAAAAGCAAGTACCATACTCAGTGCTAACAGAATTGTATCAGGTTCAGCTTTGCCAAGGTTTAACAAAGAACACAATTTTGATGTGACTCTGTTATAGCAATTTTCATACACTGAGCTCTGAGAATTGGTTATTCATTCTCAGTGCTTGGTTGCAGGCAGACAATGAAGTGTTGAATTGGTGGTGAGGGGTTGTGAATCTGTTTAAGATGTAAAGTTGCTCCCTGAATATATGAGAACCTTGGCTTTCTCTTATGTGGTGTTAACAGGTTTCTGTGGTCTGTTTTGTCCAATGTGTCTTGAGTATGACATTGCCAGGCATTATGGAGAATGTCTCTGTTGGCCTCTGTTACCGGGATCTACCTTTGCATTGAGAATTGGCACCAGAGAGAGACATAAAATACAGGTAAATGCATTTGAGGTATGTATGAATCTCAATGTATATGAAAACTTCAATGCCTTCCAAATCTATGATATCCTAAAATGATAGAAAAAAAGAGAGAGAAAGGTATGGGTGAAGGTGCTTAAAAATATCATGCTTAAGTCTGGTGTGATGGTGCACGCCTTTAATCTCAGCACTTGGGAGGCAGGGCCAGGTAGATCTCTGTGAGTTCAAGGCCAGCCTGGTCTACAGAGTGAGTTCCAGGCCAGCTGGGGTTACAGGGAGACCCTGTCTCAAAAATACATACATACATACATACATACATACATACATACATATATATGTACACACACATACATATATATATATATCATGCTTAATGAAAAACTGGAGAAGAAAACTTCTGATTTCATTATTTACTAGGAGGTATATGCTAACTTAAATGATATAAAGGTATTTCCAAGAAGAAATTCTAATGCAGATCTTTGGCCTTGGTCAATTCGTTGACCAAATTTTGCTTCCTGAGATGTGCCTTGATGTAGAGGAATAGGAGATTGTAGCTACCATCTCCTTCATCTACAAAAATAAAACCATACTTCCCTTATTACTTCAAGAGACGACAGATGGAATCATACCTAATTTGGAGGCTAAACTTGGGAGGTCTGACTTGAAATATAGCCCTATGTGACACATATAGAATTTACTTTGGACGTTTCCTGGAGTCTTTCAAAAAGCCACATAGTCAACTTCTAGCACAGGAGAGACTGAAGTACGTGAAAGGGTGAGGAGAGACAGGTGATATGTATGAAGATGCAGGTAGTTTTTAAGAAGTCTCTTGGGTTGGGCTCATAGATCAGTAGTAGAGTGCTTACCCAGCATGCACAGCCCTTGGGTTCTATCTCCAGCAGCACACATATATACATACAAGGTATCTATGAATTCTGTGGAATGAGCTCTAAAATATTTTTTTAAGTGAACAAAATAAGACATGGGCTTATGCAGCCCTTAACATAGAAGGACTATAGGTACATGTGTTTAGATACACAGAGTTTGCCTGGAAGTGTACATGAGAAATGGGTAACAGTGGTTGTTTCCAGGCAGGTAACTGGATAACTGGTGACAACTCTGGAAGGAATTTACTTTTTACTTCCTAGCCTTTTTTACTACAGGAATTTTGGACCATTTATCTTATTACATATAATACAAAAAAGATGGTAATTATCCTAAGAGACATTAAGGTTTCATGTAAAAGGTCTGTGTCAAAAGTTCAAAGGGCAGGACTCTAAACTGTAGGTATCATTTAGCCACTGAACTGCTTGGCATTTGAGCCACCTGGTGTCCTGGGTATTGACTTAAGGATTTCCTGAACCTTGGAAGCAGAGGGTAGGTTGGGTCAGCAGATAACTTTACTCAGGGCCTTGTGTAATAGAAATGATCCTGTGTGATTTGGAAAGAACAAAGTCCTTGGTGTTGCCCTAGGGGACACTCTGTGAAGATTGGCTGGTGGTGCACTGCTGTTGGCCCTTTTCCATCTGCCAGGTGGCCCGAGAACTCAAGATGAGAACCTCCCAAGTCTACGAAATCCATGCAGTCCCTTCGACTAAGGACACCGAGGCTTGATAGAACTCTCTCCCCACGTCTCCCAAACCCTCTTGGCAGAAAGATTGTTTTCTTAGCTTTTATTGGAAGAGTAGGAAAATAAATGATTTTCCCATTACTGTCTCTGCTGTTCTTTCCTTACGTATTCCCCTGAGGTCTTTAATTTGTCTAAATTTGCTATTCCATCCCAGCCATACACAGCACCTTCTGGAGGTGAGTGCTTTCCCCCACTCCTGTTTTGGAAGGTTGCATTTCCTCCCAGCTTTCTGCTGCCATCCTTTCATGAGGGATATCCCTGAGGTTAGAAAAATTATTATGTGGATTTCTTCTATCAGTCTGCTTTCCCCAAAGTATCAGTGATGGACAAGACATGTTTAATTTTAGTTAGCTCCTGAAATGCTTACCAAGGTCATTGAAACACATAACCATTGCCCTTCCCGTCAGCTCCTTCAGTCTTGTTTGCATAAAGAAGAAAGTCTAAAGTTGGAGCTAATTTTGAACACTTCCATAACACTTGCAGTGTCCTTGCTCCAGGCTAAAACCTTAGTTGGGTAACTGTTATGAGTTGGATTGTGTTTCCTGCTTCTTGAACTACATTCTACAAAAACTGTTGTAGTCTAACCTCTCCACTATGTAAAGAAGGCTTCTGGCCAAGACCCTTTTTAAGCCCTCATGGTTATACAAACTAGAACTTTCCTTGCAGAGGCAAACTCAGCATGGTCAGCCTTGAGAGTGTTAGTTGTCTTTGTCCCTAAATATTTCCACAAAAATCATGTTTGGATTTTGCAGAGCAGCTTCCAGGAGGTAAGTCCCTTGAAGAAAAATTAAATGCTCAGTGTTGACATTTAATTCATGATTAAGTATGGCCCTTTTCAAACCAGGTAATGAAAACAAAAAGATCTGGTAGACACACTGTTAAATAAAAATAAGCCTGCTTTTTATTGTTTCATGTTAAAACACACAGTAGTCTTCACAAGCTCACAGCTGGTGACAACACACATTTTTGGTAAAGGAGCCTTTACCCTCTGGACTTTCACACGATTGACCTTACCCTACAGGAAGTGAAGGTGGTATTTCACACACAGGGCTCTGGCACAGTTGCCTCTTGGCTGATGTAAAGGGTCAAGTGGCCTCTCCACAAGGGAGCCCCTTTCCCTTTGCTGCTTAGCACCAGTAAAGAGCAAACTTTGCACTTCATCAGAGACACAGGTCCAGGCAAGTAAAATTGCAGGCTCTGAAGCAGTAAGTCCACCACAGATTCATAGAACATGAAACAGATAATTCATATGTGGCTAGGTCTTTGAAACATGTAGTACAGAGTGATCACAAAGGGAAATGACTTAGGGACACGACTTTTGGTTTCTTCTAAAAGAACATCAAGGCCAAGAAAAAGACTTGACAAAAATCTGTGCTTCCTAGAAACACTATCCAATACTAGGTATTTATGTGAAAGACAATAACTGTGATGTTAAATATCCAGCTACATCTACCTATAGCTGTGTGATTTGGACTGTGCAAAGACCCTGGTCATGCCCTAGGGGACACTGTGAAGAGTGGCTGGGGGTGCACTGCTGTTGACCTTTTTCCATCTTTGGTGGCCTGAGAGCTCAAGATGAGAGCCTCTCAACACTACGAAGTCTCTGAAATTTGTGGCACAAATCTGCATTAACCCATAGTTTATCTTATTATTAACCAATCTTTATTTTATTAGAAAATTCCTTTTAGTTTTCAAGGATGCAAATTGTGGAGCAAATCTCTGATGACTACATATGGGGTCCACAATACCAATATACAAGCAAGAGAAGGGCCAAAGTAACCCATATAGGACGTTATGCATCACAAATCCAGAAAACAGGCAAACAGAAAGTCCCTCTTTGCTTTGCAGTGGAATAGACCAAGGCAAACAGCTGCAGTTCCTGGAACACTATTTTTTGGAGCAAAGATATGAAAAGTTTGAAAGTCCTTCAATGTTCACTGTCCTGTGCAATCACTCATCTGTTTATCTATTTTATGTGTCTAAGACAATGTGTACAATATTGCATAGTGGCTGCAGCATGATGTCCCGGTTATGAACATTAATCACATACATTTTAACTCAGAAAGAGTCCCTTTTGGCCTATTAAAAATACTGAACTTACAGAAAAAAGTAAGCAAAGATATTAGAGACTATAACTCTTCTATTTACATTTGTGTAGAGGAGTTAATTTTATTTCCAGTACATTTTCTCTGTTCATCTTCCACCTGAAAACATTATCTCGGCCTAACCAAATACAATAGAAGCAGCACTTTCGGGAGATGAAACTCAGACTTTATGATTAGAAATCAATTCTAGGGAAAATTTCTGAATTCATTGCAGTATTCAAGTGTACATGTGCCTGCATCCTTGTCACCCCTACCACTTTTTGACTGGGATTATTTGGAATCTGTATTTTGGTACTGAGTCCAGAGATGAAAATTTTAGCAAATGGAAAGCTTTCTATAAGCTTCTAGATTTGACTAGGAACAAATCAGTTTCTTCATCTCATGTGTTAGAACATATCCCATTTATTGGGTAAACAGGTTCAAAGTATGAGCTAAATCCTCGAGAAACTACCCATATGAGTCACGGAAAGTTTCTAGAGACTTAAAACCAGTGAGTGTAAAAATTCAGAGCAAAGGTTTCCTAGTGCTCATATGGTGAGAGTCAAAACCCATCTTTGTTTCAAGTGAAGACAGAGATTGGGCAAAGTGGCCTTGAAGACAAAGCTGTTTGAAGCCAATATGGTCACTGGCTCTTGGGGACTAGCAGTTATATTGTCCTCCCTAACTTTTATGTAGACAGCTTGTCTCCACTTAACTTTTGTATATACCATTTATAAAATTAAAGTTCCCTCCAAATGTGGAATTCTGTGATGACTCCCTGGCAAGTGAACTTGAAATTCGTTTACAGGTGGGCTGTAGGGCCTCACAGACTCTAGAATCTGAAAGCAGTGTCTCTGCATTCATCACTGCTGAGGCTAAAGAAGAGCCACACTGAATTCCCCTCAGAGGAAAATGAACTAACATTCAGTCACAGAGTTCAGAGGAAAAGGACGACTCACAGCACCGTCTTGGAGCATGCGCGAGGAGCTGCGCGCAATGCTCAGTTCTATCTGTAGTGGTAGTGCAGGCCTATCTTGTCTTCTCATTCATCCCTGGGCAGACAAAGCCACTGCTTTAGGGCTTCTTGTTCCTTATTATCATGCCTTCTGTGGTTAACCAAGAGAAGGGTGTAATAAGAAGCTTAAGTTATTCATCTCAACAAAAAACGGGTGGTGATTTAAGTTCCGCATAGGATTGCTTCACGCAGAAGGAAACATTTCTGCAAGACATATCCCTTCCTCTGAACATGGTTTGGCTGGTGCCTGCTTGCAGGACTGAATGGAAGACTGAGCAAGGGAGTTTTAGTATAAAATTAGAATCCCAAGGTGTCAAGTATTCCATCATCACCTCTGATAGGATACTGTGTCCTTTTAAAAAATCACATTCTGGAGAGATGGCTCAGCAGTTAAGAGCACTAGCTGCTCTTGCAGAGGACCCAGGTTCAAATCCCAGCATCCACATGGCAGCTAACAACCATCTGTAACTTCAGTTAAAGGAGATCTGACACCCTCTTCTGACCTCCACGGGCACTGTATGACAGAGGTGCACTTACATACATGGAGGCATAACACTCATACACATAAAATGAAAAATAAAGTTTTTTTTTAATCCCATTCTTACTGATGTTTTTAAAAAAGGAAGAGATGGAAATGCACAGACAAAAAAAAAATTAGGAGTACTTGTGAATTTCGCTTACCTGAGCAATGTCTTCGGTTAATACAAATAATTTGAAAATTATATTTCAGAGTATAGTACACACACACACACTGTGGTATCTGTCTTATACAGTCATGAAGGTTTCTAAACACACAATGACCAGAAAGTAAAAATCCAATGTGTAATGATTCTTTGCTTGGCTTCTCTGTAGCTGTGGTTCTGAACACACAAGCGCACTTCGCACTCTGCGTGCTGACAGGTCACTCAAAACCAGTGAACGCTGCCTGAAACACCTTGGCTTAGGTTAGAGAGTACTGCATGTTATGAATTTCAGTGTCTTTACTGCACATTCAAAGTTTTCTGTTCTTATTACTGAAACATAATAGTTTAATTATGGAAGACAAAGACAGTTTTTTCTTACCATCATTTGTTAGCATATAAGTATCAAATTAGCATATCTTTGGATTGTATTGTGTTAGAACGTTTGATTTTAAATATTCTTGTGTGTGTTGCTGACAGTTTAATAAAAATCATCAAATTAATTTTGGTTTGGGATTAGGATAGAATTTCTAGCAGTTTCTGAAATGGCCCTAAACATGATTCTGCCATTTTGTGCTATATGTTTTTAAAGTGACACTTTCAGAATTGATGAGTAAAAAGAAAATTATTGACTCTGAAAAAATTAGTTTTTTTTTTTTTTTTTTTTTTTTTTTTTTTTTTTTGTTGTTTTGTTTTGAAACTCACTATGGAGCCAAGGATGACCTTGAACTCCTGATCTCCTGATCTTCTTGCCTCTACCACCCAAGTTCTTGAATTTACGAGCATGTACCACCATGCCTGGCAAGATTTAACAATTTATGTAAAAAATTCAAAGAGCACATCCATCTAATTAGTATGCAAGTTTGCTTTTGTTTTTAATAAATGGCGAAATTATATATATACCAAGTAATTGTTTTTAAAAATATTTTATCATTTAAAAATTTTTTATGTGTATGAGTGTATTGCCTGCATGTATGTAAGTGCACCCATCTTGTACAATGCCTGTGGAGGTCAGGAGAGGGTGTCAGATTCCCCTGGAACTGGAGTTATGGTTGTTAGCTGCCATGTAGGTAATGGGAATAGAACCCTGGTCCTCTGCAAGAGCAGCCAGTGCTCTTAACCGCTAAGCCATCTCTCCAGCCAGCCCCAAAATAATTGTTTTAAAACAAATTTCTTTATGATTTATTATCAGTAAATATTTGATTTATATACCCTTTTAGATACTCATATACCTGGCATTTCTCAAGCTAAAAGAAGTTGCCAGTGGAAAAGGCTTAAGAAGCACTGTTCTAATAGATA